GCACAGTCAATTCCAAGCATTTAAAATCTGAAAATAGYGCTCAAAATACCAGAAAGATTGACTTGTATAAAAAAATCAATAAGCTGAATTATTTCCAAATCAAAATAATACTTCACTTTATTTTTYTGCGTGTAAGTTTCATTGTTTGAGGAGGTTCTCTGTTAACCACGGTGCCTTCAAGCTTGCTCTGACCATGACAAAAGATTCCCTTTCATATACTGATATAACTCCAGAAGCYGAGACATTGCAAAAGGCAGTAGCACTGTATAAGTTCCTTGACTGGGTGCCTTCCTGTGCTCACCAAACCTTCTTGAATCTATCCTCCCTAACTGGATACTCTTGAGACTAACAGCACTATATTTTTAAGGGATTTTTTTTCTCACTATTGCCCCTATCTTCAAAGTGCAAATTTCTCGTTAAGCATSTATCTCCTTCTGTAACTCATAAGCTGAAAACTCCAACAGTGTCTTCCTCATGAACGGGAAGATGGGGATTCCTCTCCTGCCCTCCAGAAGGATTCCATCCCTCTTTTCATTTTCAAATTATTTGTTGGTTAATGAGCAGCACCTCAGGCTGTCAATCTCTGAAGAGGCAGAGTGTCACAGGGACGGAATATCTGCCTCTATGTATTTAATCACACAATACAATTTTAATCAACCTGCAAAAAAGCCCATGTTAAAATAGAGGACAGATCATGCTACAGTTAAATTGTGATTTTGGTGTTGAGATAAAAAATGGATATTAATGTTCATGTTGCAAAAGAAAAGTGTACTTCACAGTACATGAATTAAATATATAAAGTTTCCTATTTTATAGTACATCTGTCTGCATATTTTAGAGTATTGTTCCATTTTATTACATTTCTGATCAAGACTAATGTTCATTAAAAAAATCTCATATGACAATGAAAAATTTTWTATGGAAAATTCTTGTCCTCTATTACAATTGCTATCTGCTTCACTTTTTGGAAACCACAGTAAATTAGACTTGGGCCACAGTAATCTTAATTATATCTTGAAATAGATGATGTTGGAAATATATTGAATAAACTCCTTTTGGTGAGATTGCTTTTCCCTCTTAATTCAAACTCTATGTTCATATGCTTACATTATTTAAATTACAAAAGGCAGGCATCTGAAAAACGGGATGCTTTGTTGGGCAGTCATATTCATGAAAATTCATTCAATTGTGAGGAGGTCAAAAAAACAGGGGAGAAAAAAACTGCTTGCTGATCAAAATGTAACATAAGCCACACTGAGTGGACTAAAAAACCACAGTTTTATATGATCTCAAAACTGTGTTCTATGAATTCATCATACTTTTAGCTAGAAAGCAGTTGTAATCCAACCTATTTACTTTCTTTATTTGAACAAGACAGGAAATAGGGGCCATTCTAATAGGTGACACAAGCATTCTGCATATCAGGTGGCTGATGTGAAAGTGACAGATGAGAACATCACCAGGTCCAGCATTTTGGTTTTTTGTCCCAAGTTGTACCAAAGTGAAATGTTGACCCTGAATGCAACTAAAAACCTGATGAAATTTKTCTTGTGTTGGTTGGTCTTGTGAGAAGCATGAAATAGAGGCAATAAAACTGGCAAGTTCAGCTGTGCCACATGCAAAGTGTGATGATGAAAGGTTATTGGTGACAGGAAGCACTGCCATGGGCTACATGAAGGGMGTTGTTTCACTCCCATGGCATTACTCCCCACTGATAAGGAGTGTGTTTARTACTTAGAGAGGGTCCCAGAGCAGAGCTACAGAATGTGTCCTCCCTGTACAGCAGCCATGTGAAGAGCCAGTGGGCACCTGAGGGCATGTTAAGCTGCCAGGAYATGTTTCATTAACTGTTTAATTAAAAAATTAAATAAATCAGCTGCYCCAACTGAATATGAAGTTTGCAGTCTATAGGTGATGCACTGAACCACAAACCAAACTATATTGAGCAAAGCTGTCCAATCTTATACCTCCAGTGAAGAGGTTTTCTTAATCTCTTCATGGAATTAACAGCATCAGACAATTTTTGCGTGTCTTCTTTCCTTCTTCCTTTCACTAAATTCCCTTAAAAGTACACCTCGTTATGTACTTTTCTAACCAATCACTTATTCCTTTAATTTGTTCAGGTAATTTCACTCCCAGAGACACATCTYCCTGTGTAATCTTTATGATTATGTTTCCTTGAAGACCTTCAGTATTCTAAATTTTAAACAGCAACTGTTGTCTGTTTGGTTACATGGTAGGCCAAACCCAAAAATGTCACTCAGCCTAATCAGACACAGACACTCCACTGTTCATCTCTTGCTACATTAAGACTCAGACCAGCCAGTGCTATTCAGATCAAAGCCAAAGACWTTCTAAAACTGTGGATTTCTAAGCTTTCTGTCTCATCTCAGAGCACAGTGCTAAGCTTTAGATGAAACTACCCCGTGATCATCCTGGCCAAAGGAAAATCTTCAACACTTGCTGTGTTCACCTCATCATGTTAGACATCAGTGACATTCACCCTTGCAAAAGGAAGAAGTAGTGTCAGCCCCAAAATSGTTGGGTAATTAAGAGCTCTGTGCTGGTGTAAGGGAGTCCCGCCACAATGTGACCTGGAGCAGCTGTCACATCAGGCTTTTGTTTGTGAGGAGGTGACAAACCTCTCAGCAGCACCGGTAAAACTAGTGCTGATGTGGCATCTTTGAGTGACACTTGATTTAGATGAACTACCAGATAATGTCAGTAGCAATCATAGCTCCACCACAATATTMAGGAATAGAAATCATTGTCATGAGAACATTTCTAGGCATAAGAATCCTGATGAGATTTTGCCCATCCTGTTTYGAAATTATTTAGCTATGCTGGTATTCAAAAGGAAATTTTTATATCTAGTGATACAAAATGGAAGTTCTCTTTCACTGTCATGATACAAACATCTTGATTATGTTTTCAAGTTTCTTACCCCTTWATAGAAATATTTATGATTTTTTTTRGAAATCAGACATGCATTTTAGTGTYAATGAAATAAWTTTTTGAAAATATRTTCCTGCAACTGAGCATCTTTAATCCTCTCTGCAATCAAATGTAGCTTTTGGCTTCATAGAGGGCTTTTTATTTACACATAGACTATTCAATTAATGAAAATACTTAGATTTACCATCAGAAAATAAGGAACCAGAAGAAAGCAATGGTTGGTGTGAGCCTTGATGAGAACCATCTCCTCTATCTTTATTAGAAAAACAACAGAAGAAAGGGAAGTGCAATTGCATTGTTAACATCATAACTTCAAACATGGGGATAAATAGTTTTTTTTTCCATTCCTTGTTTATTCCTAGGGAGAATAAAGAGGAAGAAAAAAGCTAATGCATCCGTATCAGGGCCAATAAGGAAAATGTAAAAATTAATTGTAAACCAATACAGAGGATTTTTGAATGACTTATTAAAATGTGAATCCAACTATTTCTTTGTTACTTACTTTAACATAAGTAACACAAGTGTTGGTGGTGCACAACTAGAGATAGTCTGTAAAATGTTAGTCCATCAGAGACTGACAGACATCTTTGAGGTAAAATCAGAATTTCAAAGTATATGAATTTAATGAAGAATTGTAAAAAATTTTCTTACATTCTATGAATGTTAGATTTTCTGTGACAGACGATTCCTAGAGCTCAGTAAATATCTTTGCTCGCTTTCAGAATTCTTTAGCTGGGAGAAATTCTGGATAATGCATAGAACTGAAAGCTAGCTCATCCATCTCTCTCTGTAAAATCCTGTACAATCCTCTGACACAATCCTGATTCACCTATTGGAACTACTTGTAAAGCTGATTTATGGAAATCATTGAAGAAGAGACTCAGTGCTTCACAGCATTGAACCTGTAAGAGGGTTTCTATATTTTCTTCATTGTAGGYTGAAAAAGAAATCTCTTCAGTCCCCTAAAATCATAAACCTCCTACACCCAGTCAGCATTCACAAGTAGAGGTTTCCTGCTTGTAGAGTAATCAGGAATTGTCAAAAATTCTGCAGAAGGACCAGAAGATCTCCAGCATTCAAAATGGAGTGTCCTCTTCNTTTTTCACCCAGTGCCATTCTTAGTAGTGTGTAGTAATAAATCTATCTTGCAACTTAAGTTATGCAGCCTGTCTGACTCTTTGTGGAGTACATAGGTATCTTTCTTCCAATTATGTTTATCTCAAAGCCATAAATTTTCRTGTTAATTGGGTCTTTGCTCTCCCTTCTCCCTCTCCGGTGGGGGGGAAAGGAGGGAACGTCGTGGGCACAGTTCAAACCACGACAAGAGTAAAGCCCATTTGAGCAAAATATACAGCACAAATCACTGTACTGTATTATTGCTATCACCCAATTAAAAAAACAAACAAAAAAAAACCCACAAAAAAAACCCCACCAAAAAAACAACCACACCAAAACCCACCAAATAACAAATCCCTAACCCCATCTCTATTCAAAATCTTCTCAAAGAGACATACAATTGAATATAATTTCCAAGCCTGAGGAGACACTGATTATCTATAAAAAAGATATTGTAAAGAATCTTTCTAAAGTTGTCAATGCCTTTATCAACAAGTCTAATAACAATGCACTGGAGCAAAGGCAGTGATTTCTTAAGTTATCCTATCCAGAAAATAACAGGCTGTTGAACATATGGTTCATTTTAAACACAGATGGAATTAAGCATCTGCTTCAGTTCTTTTCTGAGTCAGAAATAAAAACTGAAGAACATAGCTATGTAATATTTTGCATGTTACAGGAGAATCAACTCAAATGTTGCCATCATATTGTTTCATATGATTTCAATATTCTGCTTGAGCAGAGKGGGTTGGATTAGACGACCTCCAGAGGTCCCCTCCAACCTCAGCCATTCTGTGATGCTGTGACTAGTGTAGAGATGAAAGTGTGTTAGTTATATAGTTATTCATAGTGTAAGCAATATAAACCATTCTTGTTGTTTATGTAAATACTTTAAAAAGGTTACTAACAGGCAAATGTGTCATTTGGATCATTCATTTTTCTTTATTGAGCTTTGATGAAAAACAGTCTATTTGAAATATTTCCAGCAACCATTTCAATTCCAAATGCTCAATACAAAAACTTGGTATCAGAGTTCAAACATATAAAGTTACATCTCATTATAATTTAATACTTGACATCACTAATCATTTCTGATTTTTCATAATTAAGTTTACAAAAATAATGTTACATTTATAAAATAAATCAGCTTTTCCCAATAAATTACAGTGGTGTTCTTATTCAAAAATGCAATATATCATACAAAATAGACAACAGCTTCTTGTCAGATAAAATACCAAAGTATATTTTTCCTCCAGTACATTTTGGCAGTGTATGAAAACATTCCATTGTACACTTGATATCTAAAGTTCACTGTGAAAAATAAACTAATAAAGCTATTATGCACATCTCTTATATAAGGCAAGGGTGGCCATATTGGAGACTAATGCTTATTTCTGGTTATAGGTTTAGTCAGACCAATACTGCCATGTTTATGCAACTGACTTCATTTATCTGACCCAGTAAATTCATGCAAATCTACCCTGAGTCCAGCACYCTTTCTATGATAAGTACACAAAGTGAGCCCAATCAGTAAACTTTTGGGCTGCTCATTATCTCTCATGCTTACTTTATCTTTATGTTTCATCGTAAAGCATTGGTGGCCAACTTGTAAAAATAGCACAGTCCAGATACCCTTAAAGTTAATGGCAAAACTTCAGTACCTTATTCAATCATAAAAACTCATACCAAAAGGAACTTGTAAAAAGAGCAATGCATTGATAAAAAACAAACAGAAAATAGCAAAAAGAAAAATAATCTAAAGAGCAAAAGGCAAACATTAAGAACACASTTTACAAAAACAACTACTCCAAAATAACTAAGAAACATTGTCTATCTGGTGGTAGGTGATTCTCATTAAAGGCTTTTGAATGTTCAGGTCAACTCAGCATTTAYTGTGTTGTATTTCCAGCCTACAAAAATGTATTTGAAGAATCATTCCAGATTGCTTGAGCAAATTTTACAAGCCAAAAGAGTAACTGCATCCCTGGATGTTGTGATTAATGAAGGTGCTTGGTTCAGGATGATCACCTTGAAGAATTTGTGACTCCACTGTTTCCTCTTTGCAATAGTTCAGCAAACTGCAATATTTTACKAACTCTTTGTTTTGTCTGTTTCTCTCTTACATCTCTTCCAGAAAAAAAAGCGTACTTTAAAGTACTAAAGAAAAATCATTGCTGTCTGGAATAAATAAAATGTGCAAAGTGATGATTTTCTTATGATGTTAGTATTGTGTGAACAACATATCACTTCATATATCATAAAAGATTACTTTCGCAAATTGTAACTGAGTAGTAGAAATGCCCCAAGTAAGCATGTGTCACAAGATCCACTTTGTGTAAATTCACAGAAGGTCCAAATCCAGATGTGTTGTTATGGACTACAGACACAAAACTTAGTGTTGGATCCCCTCAGAGTGGAAGAGGCAGAGAAAGGTGCTTGTCACAGAAAACCTATTCATCCCACACTTCTGAAAACTGTTAAAAATTGAGAGGATGAGGATTTGGTGTGCTGTCTTCTGTCTTGAAATACCATGGCTCAAACCAGGAGCACCTGGAGCTGAAGTCAGATACATTTGTCACTGCAATTAGTATGCCATACCTCTCCCAACACAGAGCTATTCCATTAACTATCATTTCTCTGTAGGTGAATTTTAGTGACTGCGGAAACATGCATTCACTAGCCAGTTAGACAAAAAAACCCACATTGTCTACTCTTACCCTAGTAAACTGAACATCACAAAATCTATACTCCATGCCCTATACTCAAAGGGCATGGTCCTAATTAGACCTCATTGCAGTCAACAACTTCCTTGTGAAGGCAAGAGGAGGGGCAGACACTGATCTCTTCTCTGAGGTGACCAGTGAAAGGACCCAAGGGAATGGCCTGAAGCTGTGTCAGAGGTTTAGGTTGGACATCAGAAAAGGTTCTTTGCCCTGAGGGTGTTTGGGCACTGGAACAGCTCCCCAGGGAAGTGGTCACAGCACTAAGCCTGACAGAGCTCAAGATGTGTTTGGACAATGCTGTCAGGTACATGGTGTGACTCTAGGGGATGGTGCTGTGCAAGGCCAGGAGTGGAACTTGGCAATCTTTGTGGGTCCTTCTCTTTGCTCCCAAAGAGAAGGACTGTATTCAAAGAACCTGGTCAAAAGTATTCCTAGATTGGTCTAATTCCCAAATTATGCCCAGAAATTTTTTGGGAAAGTACCAGTTAGTCCTGACCAAAAGCCTGCCAGTCATTGTTCTAACTGCTTCAGCACTGGTCAATTGACTAATACAGACATTATTGAATACATAGATTTTAAAAAGTCCTCAAGCATATTGACACAGAGAGGCCTTCTGCTTCACACAGTTCAGCAGGGAGGATTCAATGTTTTTGTTGAAATTTAAAATCTTGAAAGAGATGGTCCTTTCAAATCAGGATTTTTTAAAATAGTTGGGTTCTTCTGTCCATTAAGTAGGTTTTCCTTTTATTTTTTTCAATTCATGTGCTTTTTCAGTAGCCTACTATTAGTGGAATCTTGGCTTTTGCCTGGTTAACCCACTATTTCATGTCTACAATTCACAGCTAAACAAGCACTAACCAGTTCCACTACAATGAAAAAATTATATACACATGGAAAACAATAATATTAAGACAACAACTAAAACAGGAAATAAAAACATGAATCTGTGCAGTTATAAGATCTAAAAATAATATCAACCTCTATACATATGTGTCAGACTGCAGCATCCATAGTTAACAGTTGTATACAGCAGTCAGAACRGTATTACTTTCCAAATCATGAGGTGTTTTAAGGAACACCCACAGTAGTGGCTGCTGAGGAAATAATTTCCTTTATCAACCTGAGATTTTTAATGTGCAAGTGTTCTACCAGTCTATCTAGTGCATGAAAAGGAAGGGAAGGAAGGGAAGGGAAGGGAAGGGAAGGGAAGGGAAGGAAGGGAAGGAAGAAAAAGACAGAGACAGAAATATTATCACAATGGTTTTTGTTTCAAAATAGATTGCTGTGCAATGACTGAAGCCTGATTTGCAGACATTTTGTATTCTTGCCCAGAGCCTTGTGGAGGGGAAGGTAATGGAGTTTCTGGAGTTGCTGAAAAAAAAAGGTAGAAAAAATTACATATTTTTAAAGCCTGGTCTACTCTGTACATACATACTACTGCTCTGAAAGGGAGTTCTGTTACATTTGACATGCTAGGRAAACAGTATATTTAAATTATCAGAATTTTTAGTTTATTAAAGATTGTGTATGTAAAAACAATGATACATCAGAATGGTGCTGAATTTTTAAAGTTAAGTTGAATTTAGGTCAAAGTTTCTTACTTAACACCATTTATATACATACATTTTTAATGCACAATTATTTTAATGTAAAAATGATGATGAAATAGCTCTATGAACATTGACAGGCCACCATTCTAATTAATATTTTAAAATGAAATAGTGAAATGCTATGACAGAAGSCTAACTTGCAATTACTTACGGATCTGTTCCGTATGTACAGGAGCAGACATTGAACTTATGAGGACAGTTTGGCCAGTTAATGGATCTTGGGCTAAGTGAGGATGCATCGGATGATGCAGATGATTGGCATCATTAGAAGTACCTGCAAAAACAACATGAGCATATATCAATTCAAAAGAGCATGTTGTTGCCAGTGACTTATACTTCAGTAATTACATTTCCACAGAGCAAATATTTTGATTGGCAATTTGAATAATTGCCTCTGGGTATTCATTAAACAATTTAACCAGACTTCAACCATATTAAGCACTGTGTTTGTCTTCACTGTTTTGACTGCAATAACAGTGCATTTCATGAAATATTTGTAAGGATTCTTTCATCTGCCTGGGGAATTGTAGAGCAACCCAGCAGTTACTGAGAAGCACATAGCACAATCTGTTGTTGAAGGACTAAGTTAACAAGATGATCTGCCAAGACAAGAAGGCTTTAGCTAACAATTACACAACTCAAAGCTCAGTGACAGTGAGCTAAATAGTGAGCTAGTGGTAGCTTGGATCAGGATTCCCTCAACATCCCAACATGATAAATTCAACATCATGCAAGACAGTAAACTCAACAAATTATTAGCTTACCTCCCAATAACATTTCCTGAAGCAAACTGTCAATTTTAACAATTCCAAATAGTTTAACCAATTGTATCTGCTCAATCATTTGCCAAGTAATGCTTTGGAGTGTAGGCAGTAAAAGAAGAAGTTCTCCAAATCTTCCTCTGGAGTCGTACTGACGGTCATTAATATAATCCTCTAAACTTATTTGGACTTGGAATCGCATATTCTTAATCTTCAATGGATTACTCAAGCCTTTTGCATCTTAAAAAATGACAAAAACTTATAGTCAAGGCAGATTATGATTTCGGAGGAGCATCTTATTGCTTTTAATTATATTCTTTTGCATTCAACAAGAAAGCATGAACAGATGATGCATTAACAAAAATTACTCTCAATACAATCACATATAAAATAAGTGAGATATATTTTCATAAAAATACCTGGATCAAAAAACACAATTGCTTTCAAGCAAGCATATTCATTGTCATCTATTTGAATTTCCTGGAAGGGACGAACTAATTCATCCAGAATCCGATTCGCCACTCGGCAGATCTCCACTTCATTGCTGTTGCGATGAATTATGTAATTGTTGCCTTAGAGAGAAAGAATACCAACATTTGAAACATTCTAATGTAAGGTACTAGATGAAGCCAATTTTCAAAAGTACATTTCATATTGGTTAATCAAATTAATAATTTTTTTAAGTGACAACTCTCCCTTGCATCACAYATAACTTTTCTTTGCAAACAGAGTACATGTGCAAATTATAGCTGTCACCCAGTAATCTGTACATATAAGTATGCCAACAAATAGTTGCTGATTTGTCCAGAGGATTAAGGTTTGTATTTGAATGTACACATAGGAAGCAAGTAGACYTTTATCTTTAAATACCAGATAAATATACTAGTGAATTGATCTTAAAATGTCTTCTTCCCTGATTAAAATAATATATCTCAAGCTGAATGACATGGATTTGTCAATAGACTAAAGGACACATTGGAAATGTTTCCTTTTCTAGTGGATATTTCGGTTATTCCTAATAAAATTCAGCAGCATCATAAAATTTTCAGTTAAGGATGTATTTTACCTGGATTTTCTTTTGCTCGTTTGTTTTTTCTTTAAATTTTAAATTTCTATTTTGGAGAAGTCTCCACTATGGCATCTTAATTCACCTTTTGGAGAACATTAGGAATATCACAGAGCTTTCAGAAGCCACCAGACAGTTTTCAAAAGAAAAACTTGTAATTATATAAGAAAACTCTGTCAAAATGACTAATAAACTTTACACATACCTGCCTCCAAGTATCAAAAATAAGCCTTGATGCTTCAAATTATTTCTTCTTTTGGTATATATACTGATGCTTGGATTACTAAATATAATTTTCTTAATATTATTTTATCATTATTTTCCTTATTACCAACTAATCCCAATAAAAAGGCAATTTTTAAAAAATTTCTGTTAATTTTGTTAGTGAAACTGTATCTAGAGATAGAACTACCTAAAGAAAGACATTTGTATGGCTTTTATCTTGAAAGGACTGCTGGTGAAAGAAATACCTTCAGACCAGGCCCTTCTTGTCCTTTTAACATTTTAATATGTGTAAAAATGAATTCAAGCTGATTTAGAGCTATGAAAAGTCAGGCCCAAGGAGGAAGGAGATCAAGCAGCAGAAAATGTCCTTGTACCACACCACCAGTGAAGAGACAAGTCTGAGTCCATATTCCCCATAGTCTCGCCTCACATCAAAAATCCTATCCAAGATGACCTACAGACTTTTTCACAATGCAGTGCCAGTGCTGAGCATGTCAAATGAGACCCTTTTTGAGCACTGTGAAACAAGTGTCAAACAAAGCTAATAAATGCCTCATCACATCACTCTCCACAAAGGCACACATCTCACCTTGCAACAGGGTCTCTCTGTTCCATGAACTAGAAGACRTGGTTCCACCACACAACATTTTCTTCTCTGACAGCCTTGTTCCCTTTATATAACCCAGCACAGAAGCCATTTCAGTTGACCAAGAATAGGCTCCTGCATGCATGCCTTGGCACTGTGCCATGGATGGCCCGTCTCCCCCTCAGCAGGGATAGCACAAATGATGTTTATGAGATGACCATGTGGCAACTGTCAAGGCAGCAGCGAGAGGGCTCTTGGGAAAGTGAGTTGCAGAGAACAGACTATCTAATATTTTAGCCAGTAGAGTCTTCTCTGAGTCTAAAGGACCTTTGAGAAAGCTCCAGATAAATGCTTTTCCAGAAGACGGAGGGTACTACATGTGCAAAAGTCTGGCTGCTCCTTTCCCAGGCAAAGGGGTTTTTATGATGTTTTTGTGGTGGTGTTGTTTTGTTCCAGTTTTTTAATGAGAAACAAGGGTGCAGAAGAGACAATAATGTAAGGAGAATATTGCCAGGAACTCCCTTAAATTTTGGTTTCTGGTATCCAACAGACCTTTAGCTGTATTAACCCGCATGAAATCACCACCTGYTTTTGCTAGAACAGGCATGTGACATTATGTCATTAATAGCTATTTAGCATTCACAGAATGCATTGCTTTGATTGTGCCAGAACAGTTGTCCCACTTAAGTGATTACATCGTTGCTAATGTACTATAACATCATCGTTAGTAAGTAAAACAAAATCAATATTTACCTAAAAGTAAAATGTCCTTATATGCCATGGACCGTTTTGCTGCTCCAAGCAACAGATGCTCCCCAGCATGAGCTCTTAGCAGGGCAACCTCATGAAAAAAACAGCAGACTCATTAGATGATAAAGCAGTAGGTTTCAGTAAGAGCAAAAGAAAAGAGGATACATACTACTGTGTGTAAGGTACATGTTTAAGACTGTTAAGATTCCAATGAAAAATGTTAAATGAATGTAAGAGTCTTAACACCATAAAAACAGCACTCTCTAATTAAATTGTCATCCTCTGTCATTTCTAGCATTCTGTCTAGATTTTAAACATGAGACTCTGCAAAATAATTCTGAATACATARCACTACCTGGAATTATTTCCTAGTACGTATTCCCTTGACGGAGTTTTCTCTGGCATTTTAAGTTGATGCTAAAGATGTCAGAGGGCTAGAATGAACTGTTACAGTAAATTAGGTATCAGTGCTCAATTTTTCTTACCTCAAACCAAACATTTATGTGGCACTTAAAAGAGCTTTTCCCCAACAAAGCCAGATATGCTAAAATAGCCACTACTGTCCACTAAGGGGAATCCCAGTTTGTACTGGGAAGGCACTTGTCTTTATGAGTTTACTCTCTGTCACCTATTTACTTTCCTCTGGTTTTGATGTGCATTGAAACTTCAGCAATGGCTTTTATTTTCTAAAGGAATTCATCTCTTGACAAGTAATTCTAATCCAARCCAGTATTTTAGGAGTGATGTAAAGGTACACAGCACCTGGGTAATACTTATCTGTTAAGACTTTTCAGGTTCTCAGTAGAGTTAATTCAGCTGCTCTGGCATCCTCTATGATTTGTAAATCAGGATGACTCCCAGATCAGGAATATTTTTTTCAAAACCAGATGGCTTATTTTATAACTAAATGCACAGTGCCCCTTAGAAACTGACTATCACAATGGAAAAGTGGCATTTCTTTATCRTCTCTCAACATCTTTGACCTTACTTTTCTAAGGTACTTAAGTTTCAGAGTATTTCCCATGTACTCTTCAAGCATTGCAGGGATATTTTCAGCCTAACATTCTAAGCCGATATTTTATTTTTTAAATGCAGGTAGGAACATTTTAAGAACATCTGATACCTTCCCTTTTCCTTCATGCCATTTTAACAATAAAAGCAGTAATACTTCTTTGCTCATTTTTGTTGCCCTTGTGTAGCCAATGCATTTGAAATTCTCTTTCACATGAACAGTTTTAACTTATTCCACTATGTTGAGCTTGTGAACATATTAGCTCTGTGGGTCTGCAAAGATATCACTAAGCTCTTGTTTTGGGGGGGGACCTCCTATGACCTGAAACAGATCCATATTCCTGAGGAAGAATATAAGAGGGAATGACTCAGTTCAAAACCAAGGATGACCTAACACTTCTTGTAGGATTTTGTTAAAAACTGAGACACCAAAGAGGCAAAAAGAGGGATTTACACAATTTCAGTTCTCAGTGTGATTTCCAAGAGACTGCTGTGGAATCAAGAGATCCCAAGCAATTAATTAACCTCCTGCTGAGGCTGCTTGTCAGACAACTACTCACTACAACGTGAAGATACTGATTCTGGGTTTGTCTGCACAACCTACTCTGAAACCTACTCTATATATTAGGATATATCACAGATGTGATGATAGATCAGACCTCTGTCTGATAAAAACCCCTTATGAATTTTCAAGATTTGATACTTTTTCCCCCTACATTGRTTATATACAATATAATTTTAGTACATTGTATTTTATGAAAAGTATTTGCTATGGATTGATATCAGTATGTCTGTAATTTGTTTGAGATTCCAATGGTTTTTGGGTTTTGCAAGTAGAGAAGACCTGCCTCAAATTAAATAACAAGCTGTCTTAAGCTGTATTTTAATGAAAGGTCTGTATTATAATGAAAGGTGAACAAGAAATAAAACTTTTTAAGGTCAGAAAAAAAGTTTGGCTTCCAAAAGACTACAGAATAAACAAAAAAGCTTAATGACAAGCTGGTTTGCCACTTCTTTTTGTTAGTGTATTTTATGCGGTGATGGTGGTGTTATTTCAAAACTTTAAAAAAAAMCCCAAAAACAGAGGGTGGGTCTAGTACCCAACTTTATTTGATTGGACAAAAAAGAATGAGTGCTTTAGCATGACATTTGAATATCACMGAGCTAACAGCATAGTAATTAGAATTTTCTCTTTGTTCTCCTCTTATACCTGGTCATCCAGTGGTAATTCACAGAAGCCTGGAATATATTTAGCCCATTCCACCAGGACCAAAAGTTGTTGCTTCATAGATTCACAGACATCACTAACACCAGCAATTTTCTTAACATTTATATCAGTGCTAGCACCRGGACTGGAGATTGAGATCTGGCCATAACGAGAGGAAAAATGAACAATGTTAAATTTCATATAATTTCATTTTCACTGTTTAATAGCATATTGAAGAAAAAAATCACAGCAGCAATCACAGATACTCTTGAGAAATTCCTTGACCATATGCACCATTAATTACTCTGCAAGTAAATTATAAWTTTTTATTTCACATTATTACCAGTGTGCACTGCAGGATGCTAAAACTTTAATTAATCATATCATGATTAATTCCAAAATTCTCATTCCAAAATACTATTTTTAAACATACTAAAGCTCTTATCATTTGTAGAAGGGAGGTGTTTGGTTTTTKTTTTTTTTTTTCTTTAAAATGGTTGACATTTATTTAATTTCAGATAAAAAGAAGGGCTCATAGTGGCATGCAGTAATATTAAGGTATAGAGATATTAAGAGAAAGAGAGTGATAAAGGGGTAGCATGTTCTTCTAGTGAAAAGATAAGTATCATTAACTTTGGAAGGTAAAACAGGGGGTTTTCAGTGCCTGGAGGAGAATGGTTTGTAATGATGAAGCAGCAGTACAGGCAGAGGCCTGGGAAATTTCAGAGGAAATGTAAAGGATATGAGTGTGCATCAGACCACCTGCAGTGAACAGTGTTCTGTGAAATAGAAATATCTTTCTGGGCCTGAAGCTGGGGCACTTCTACTGAGCCAAATCCTGAAATTCTTAATGACTTTTCAAAGAAAGGAACAAAACCAGGCTTTCTTTTAAGCCAGGCAGGAAAGCCAACTTAAGATAAAGCCAAACCTGAGGAGGTAAGATCAGTTTATAGTTGTTATCATACCAGGCAAGCAAAAGAAAAAGGAAGAAAATAAAAAAARAAAAAAAAAAAGGAAACCAAATGAAAAAGAGAGAGGAAAAAGAAGAAGAGGAAAGCGGAAGCAGAAGAAGAAGAAATGAAAAAGAGAAAAAGATCACTGTTCAAGGCACATGAAAGTAACTTTCCCATTATGTTTTATTACTGGAAGCATACTCTGGAAATTATGTAGTGCGATTATCTTCCTCAGAAAAAGAAATCAATTGTTTGGTCTTCCAGTACCATGTTCCTACTTTTCAGAACAGTGGAAGCTGTTTAGGTTGACTCCTACCAGTTCCCCTTCATTCATATATCCATGTTAAACCCCACAGTGGGATCTGCGGTGAAATCCCTTATCCTTGAGTAGTCAAAAGGAGTTGCATTTCTGAACTAAAGCTGTGTGCTTCCTTCATAATTCAGTAGTGTAAAACACTGAAAACAGATTAGATATTAATGCCAGTTAACCAGCTGAACATTATCTCTCAGGGAAGTACAGCAGCTAGGCAGGTGAAAAATTCCTTAGACACATAATTCAAAGGYTATCATGTAGGAAAAAGGTTAGAAGTATTGCCTCTTTGTAGACAGAAAATGTGTGAAATCCATGCTACTATCCTGAGTCCATTTCTGGTATCTCCTYTACAAAAATGAGTTTGAAAATACTGAACATCATTCAGGTGAGAGCTACCAGAGAGAGGAATTCAGTCAAGAAAACCTTCATTACAGAAAGAGAGWAAAGAAATTAAATTCATTGTTTTCCAGAAGAGTAAAAGGGGTCTTGATCRAGGTTCAAATGTACAAAGAGATTTCTGATAGTAGGTCACACTCTGATCTWCCTGAAAAAGATACCTCCAGGTAGCARSTAGAAGACAACACAAGGTAAAGAAGAGGTAGATTGTTTAATTGTTGGACATATTGACTCATGAAGTTAACAGTTTGTCCTTCCCTTAATACATTTTAATCAAAGCTGYGCACTTTTATAAATTACATCTTACAATACAAACTACAGTCTCCATGCTGACATTAATTGGTGAACTGCTGGGGATTCATTGGATGACTCCCATGGAGTTCATTGTGAACACCTAGGATTGCACCTCCTGACAAAGATATGAACCTATGAACTTTTCTATTTCTCTATTGCTTTAATGTGCCTCTCATTTATGGGGTGCAACACAGAAGTCACTGACTTGATAGAATCATAGCTCAAGTTAGGAGTGACCTTGAAAGATCATCTCATCCAACATTTGTGGGAAAGGAATCCTAGATGAGGTTATCTAGCCCCMTGTTTAATCACATCTTTCTGATAAGGACTCCCCCACATCCCTGGAAAGGTTGTTCCAGTAATTGCTTGTTTTCACTGTAAAAAGTTTGTTATATTGAGATAAAAGCTTTCCCAGTCTAACTTGCACCCATCAAWGACTTGATGAACACGACAATATAAYACTGYATCCCCGTTGTTCTGAAAACCTTCAGGGACACAGTCCCTTACTTATATGAGAGTCCAGCATGCCCTTTTCATATTTACATAATCTTGGAAGCCCCTTCTAGGTCTCTAGAAGAAAAATTAGACAATTTCCCCCTGTAAGGGATCTTAAGGGGGAATAACTAATTTTTCCTATTTAATATGAACATTTCAAAAGGGATGAATGCTGCCCTCTTCCTCTTTTCACAGCTGAAGGGCTTGGATAATGATTTGGGACACTACCACCTCCTCTAAGTCTCTTCTCAGGACTGAACTAATTTTACAGACATATTCAATTGAGGGAGAAGCAAGTACTTTAAATACTTTGCTTTTCCATCATGTCAATGCAGTCTCTTGGACTTAGAGGCAAAGATTGTATCTTCACATATGTTTTACATAGTGAAAGCAATTCTGTCCTACTAAAACATACCAAACAGTAAGTACAATAAATTTGTGTATACACAAGGTGATGTTTTAGGCCAAGAASCTATTCTTTGAAAAGAACTTTGTGCTATAAACAGCTGAGGATGTGATTCTGTTCAAGACAGTTTTTATTCCTGAATTGCATATACCAGTTGGAAATGATTAAGGAGCATTATAAAAAAGCACAATAAGCAAGTTCAAAAAATTACTAAGGAGATAAAAATAGCTATATTTTTCATACTGTATAGGTATGAAAGTTAGGAAGGTACATTATGTTCATCTAGTCTGCCYAGACATGCAATGTGTGCCAAAGACTATCACCCAGTAATTCCTGCATCAATTCTTAACAGACAGTTCCAGCCTAAGAGAGATGCTGATAAAGGATGAGATTACAAAACATTTGGGGATGTATAAATCAGTCAGCATGAAATCATAAAGGTGGCAGTTAAATTCTAAGCAAGTTAGTAAGAGGTGCAAGAATGCAGAATCAATGACCATGATTTATCTGAAGTGCAGAAAAGGACTGGAGACCGTTCCATTCAGCAATTGATTGGATAGGAAAAAAAAGAAAAAGAGAAAATGAAGTTCAGATGAGACAAAGAAAATTTAAAAGCAAGATGTGAATAAATTCTGCAGTTGGAACACTTCTGTTTGCCTTACTTTTAATGTCTAAGGATATTAAAAATGGGWTTTTCAACAGAATGTAAGGAAATGAATGTCCACACCCATTTGAATGTAATGGCTTTGGACAATTTTTTCCCTGTGTTTCATGGGAAAGCCAGGACTTCAAGGATAGATAGATGCCACCAGCTGCCTAAGACAGCAACTGATTTAAAAGCASTAAGAGCCATAAACCTTTATTAAGAAAGGTGCCTAAGACATATTGTCCTGGACAAAGTAGAATTTTTTTATTGACTTTGCTTCAAGAATGTATTCTATTGCCTCTTCTTTCATTGCAAAGAGGAAGCTGTGTGCATTTTGGAAGTAGAAAAAAGTAATCTCAATAATTATATTCAATACAATAAGAAACTGAAAAGTATTTAATTTTAGCAAAAGTGGTCTTAAAGTCACTAAACAATTTTGTGGTAGATGTCAGTACCTGACGAGAAAGTGTCTCAGCTTGTGACAATGTGCTGATAGAGGGACTGTTGCAGCCATCAAAAGTGTTTCTTCTTGTACTTATCCTGTCCCGTTCATTTTGTACAGCTGGAAAAGAATAATCATCTCACTTATTGACTTTTAAACATTGACACATAGGATAATTTGAGAACTTTACTAGATTTCAGAAGATAACTGTAAGAACTGAAAGGTATGACATTCAAAGAAGATGATCTGCTTTCAGGTCTGAGTAATGAGGAATGATGATAATACATGTTTATGGTTTCTATCAATACACTRCTTGCCTGTAAAAAACATGTACAATTAATTATAGATAGATACTGAATCATCAGCACTTTTTTCACCGGCTTAATTACAGTAAAACCTCCTTCTTCCTTTTAATACATGGTCTCAATTTCAACCAATTTACTAAGTCTGGCTTTATGCTAATGGCAAAAATGGACATCTCCAGACTGCAAAATAGGTCAGGTGGTACAGCATCACCACTGAAAAATATGTCAGAGGAAGTATGAAAGCCATACTCATGCTCTGCTGTGGGAAACCCTGAAACAAGAATGAATCATGAATTTAATCCACTAGTCAGATAATTTTGAAATGCAAACCTTGTGTTCCTCCTCACTGACATTGCATTCCTAGCCAGTTATGGAACATTAACTAAGTTAAAGGAGGAAAAAAAAAAAAAAAAAACCCCAACCCAAAAAACAATGCACCAAAAAAGTTTCAAGACAGTAAATTCAGTAAGTTTTGTCTCATGGGGTCCAAACAAAGGCATATGAAAGGGCTTTGGATGAGGAATCTGTAATCAGCACATGCAAGACTTAAAAATCAACAAGGCATATTTCTGAACTAAAGAAAGAAGAAAAAATAAAAACTATCAGTCAGATGTTTCTAAAACCTAGATCATGTCCAAGATTAAGCCAAGGAAAATGAAAAAGGGAAAATAAAATTCTTATGCCAATCAAAATCTTTTTATTGCACAAGGAATCTCATTGTCTTTTAAGAGCAGTAGTTTTACTTCCAAAGATACATTTGCTATTTTCTAGGTAACAATCTTCATTACAGAATTTAGGAGCAGTACAAGAAGTGTCAATAAATATATATATATATATTCTATGCACTGAGTAGGTCCAGGGTTTATCTGAACAATGCACACAGTTTATTCCAGAGGTGTACTAACTTTTTGCAAGGACATTCACTGATGGGCCTTTTATTAAGGTCMCAGTAAGAAATCTTGTGTGGTGATAAATGCAAAGTGTTATATGTTCATGTAAACAGGAAAGAGAAAACACAGCCTTTTGWAAAAGAATGTTGAAACAAACATCCACTGAATCTCAGCAGCTTRAGTGCTACATAGGTAATTAAAATAGGTTCAGCACTTGTTATTATTMTAAAAATAGTAAGGTATTCTGACAATACTCTACTAGTGAAAGTCACTGGTGAAGCACACTGAAAACCATAGGTAGATACTTCAATTTTCTTCTACATATACGTAACTCTGGCTTGGTAGACKAGAATACCTGGCTAAAGCCTTTCTGTCAGTTCAGACTAAAATTGCCTTAAACAGAGGCTCCATGAGGAGTTTTGCTCAAAGAGGTCTCGTAAMGCTTTTACCAGCTGAAGTCTCTCTTATCTTTGTCCTGAAGAAAACAGATTTGCTAGAAACAATAAGAAACTATCATAGACTCTATGCTACACTTCTGCGATGAGATGTGCCCTGACCATATAGAGAGGTATATAACAAAACAAAAGCAGTGTTGAAAGTTTTAGATGCAGTGGGATCAGAGAAGGGCAGAGTGGTGTTAAGTAAGTCAAAAGTTTTGTGGCATGCACCAGGCTCCTTTGGCGTCTTGAGGGAAATTAACATTTCTCTGTTTTGGGCTCTCTTGCACATGAAAGATGCTGGAAAACTARGCAGTGTCCAGGAGAGGGCTATGGAGATGTAATCCACAAGATGCTCAAGGTGAAACAGAGACAGGCATCTTTGTTTATGTGGAAAAGAGGAGACCAACATGGACATGAAATACATTAGCATACAGAAAATGGAGCCTGAGTCCTCTCAGATGCATAAGGAAAAGACACAATGGACACTACCCTAACTGCAGAAAGATGTATTCCAAGCAGTTATAAGCAAAAAACCTTTCCCAGTCAGGGTGGTCAAGTAGTGAAAGAGCTTGCCAAGCAAGAGGCTGTTGAATCTCCCTTCTCAGGGACTGTGTAAATCTGTCTGGACAGGGTTCCAAGCAACCTGACTGAACCTAGATGTTAGCCTTGTTTTAAGAGGGGGCTGAAATAGATGTATTCMAGATGTCTCCTCTGATATAAACTATTCTTTAATTTCAGGTTTTGAAAGTCTGTAAAGCTCTGCTATTTGCAAAACTTTTAGGGCTGCTGAGGATGCACAGATCTTCCCCTTTCTTCACATCAGATTGATAATGTATATACAATATGTTACTGATTTAATGGCTCAGATTCTAAAAGGTTAAAGTATGTTAAAGGAGGTCCACAAGAGTTAGCAAACCTATTTCATACCCTGTGTAATGTTGTTTAGAACATCCCCATCCAGCTTTGAGGAGAAAAATCCATTTTATCTCATACCAATAACTTGGTCACCTAGCAAAGCACCACTACAGTACAGATACTTAAGAGCATAAAGAAAAAGCTTCTATTGTACAGGCTAAAAGAGAACTGAGCACTCACAATTTAGATCGGCCTGCAGGCAGATGTATACTATGCTCCAAACAAAAAAAAAATGTAGCATAGTTTGTGACAAACCACTTTTGAGTGTGTATTTGAAATGGATAAGGACATCTTTTGTCTCTACATTGTAATTCTCCTTGAAACAACAGCCCCAACAAAAAAAAGCCCCTCTAATATTTGCACTACTCTCTTTCCCTATTTCTCTGCTGCTGGTCCTTCCTCTTTGTCAGCAGAATCACTGTGACACACGTTTCTTACATCTGTCAGTGAGATGCATAAGTAACAATTTTCCTATATTAAGCCCTAAGGAAAATACATTTTTGTTTTTGTTAATTAATGTGGATACTACACTGACAATTACCACTACTCTTCTCACTACTTTTTCACTCAACTTCATAGTCCTTCCTCTGGCTTAAGTGCTTCATGCATTTAAACTTAAGGGAAGAATCAGTAAATTGTCACTGTYATTACTCAGGGTAGGAAAAAATGCCAGATAGAGATGTTAGTACTAAGATTTGATAAACATTTGAAGTAAAATCTCATGATTTGAATTATTCCAGCATATGGCTCAATATGTAGAAATCAATGAATTTTGGTGCCAGAATTAATGAATTAAACAGTTGCAAAGTCACTTTAAATCCATGGACTTACTAATGTTCAAAGTGTTACAGCTGCTTACCCACTTGAAGGTTAGAAGACACATGTTTCACCTCAGTAAAAAAGCTCTTCCCCATTATGAAGGCATTGTAGAAGACATTCCATTGGTTTATTCAGCTGGAGTTTTTTAGAATTATCATTATATTTAAAAGCTAATTCAGATTTTTTTTCTCTTCRTATATCAAATAATAAACAACTCAATTACCTTCCTTTTTCATTCCTGCTCGAAAACACTTTTTTAAACGACAATATCTGCATTGATTCCTTTTGTCCTTGTCAACAATACATTGTCGGTTGAATCTATCAGAGACAAGAAAAGGTARATGTATAAAGCATTAATAAATTTGCACCCTGATTACAAAGAAGAAAATCAACTAATCTTTTCTGTCAGAATAAAGTCTATAACCACAAACTCGCTTCTTCAGTTGAAYTGATTATTCTTTATTAATCAGTTTKGAGAAGTGTTTCATACCTGTTCATTTTCCAGGAATATATGTGTGTGTGTAAACACATGTATGCATTGGAAAGCRTGGAAAATTTTGTCGTTACATACATCATTTATACCTCAACTGATTTGTAAAGGATGTCAGTAACTGGCTGTCAAATGGCAATGGAAGGGGCAAAAAAATAGAAAACTAGAAAAAGGAAAGGACAATCAAGGAAAAAAACAAATGTTGCTGGCATGGAGGAGCCCCTTAGCTGCAAAACCATTACCCTTGTCTGGCAATTTTTACTCTTTCAGGGAGATAACAATGAAATGCAGAAACGAGCTGCATGGTGGCAAGAGGAGCCATCACAATGAAATAAAGACATGGGGAAACACACAGAGCATGACACTGCAAGAAGGCTTACCCAGGCTATAATGCACATCTACAGGTGTGTCTAAAGGAAATGCATATGAGCCATTTGCACCTCTCCCTGTCCACATTTGCCTTTTTTTCTTGGCATGTGTTTGTTAGACAAACAGACCTAACTTTTGCAGAGCTCTTCCTGAAATCACTTATGTTAGCTCTTGACACACCACTTTAGGGGTATATCTGAGCTACACCACTGTGCTGTAAGGCAGAGATTTATTTATGAGTATTACACATCCAAGGAAGAGTACAGGAAACAACATTTCCAGTAACAAGCCGTTCTTATAAGTTTTCTCGTCACCCCATGAAGTGGCACAAGGAGACAGGGAATGGGGGCTACAGTCAGTTCACCACACATTGCCTCTGCTGCTGCTTCCTCCTCAAGGGAAGGACTCCTCACACTCTTCACCTGCTCCAGTGGCAGGCCYCTCCCAACAGAGACAGYTCTCCATTAACTTCTCCMATRTTAGTCCTTYCCCTGGGCTTAGCTCTTCATGAACTCCTCCAGCATGGGTTCTCTCCAGAGGGTGCAGTCCTTTAGGATCAGGCTGCTCCAGCAATGTGTTCCCTAGGGGTTCAAAAATCCTGCCAGAAAACCTGCTCCAGTGTGGGCTCCTCCTCCCATGGGGCCACAGGTCTGGCCAGGAGTCTGCTGCTGCAAAGTCTTCCCATGGGGTCACAACCTTCTTTCATGTATTCACCTTCTCCAGCAGAGGATCCTACATGGGCCACAGGYGGATTTTCATAGGTTTCATGGGGACACAGCTGCCTCACCATGGTCTGTACTGTGGGCTGCAGGAGAATCTTTGCTCCAGCACCAGGGGCACCTCCTTCCCCTTCCTTCTCCACTGACCTTGGTGTCTGCAGAGCTGTTCTTCTCACACATTCTCACTCCTCTCTTCTCCAGCTACAATTTGTTTCTGCATAATAATTATTTCTTCTTCTTAAATACATTATCCCAAAGACACTTCCACCATTGCTGAAAGATTCAGCTTTGGCCATCTTGGAGCTGGCTGGCATTGGCTTCACCAGACACAGGGGACAYCAGTGACAACTTCTCACAGAATCCACTTTTGTGGCCCCATTGCTACCAAAATCTTGGCGTGAAAACCCAATATACCACGTCAATAATTTGTCTAAACTCACTGAGTTTTCCATATATTCTATGCATGGCTCAAAATTGACAGTTTATGGCCCAGAGCATGCACAGATTATGTCATCAGACATGGAGCAGTGTGATATTTTGGGCACCATTCAGAAATAAACAGATTGCCATTTAGACTGAAAGGGGAGGAATGGCCACTCAAAAGAGCCATGTGTCACACCAAGTGGGAGCATGTGCAGATATGTTTGTACTGCCCTTAAAAACGAGATTCATAAATCTCAGACTTCCTATTCAGAAATAACCTTCATAAGGAAAGAATTTTCAGAAAACAGTTRAGAATTACAGTTTTCACATTGCAATGGAAATATGAGCTTTTTTCCTTTTTTTTTCTGGAGAGGATTTGTAATAATAAATAAAAGAATGAAACAGTAAGTGATGTAATGATATTAACAATATCAACAAAAATCTGGAATACAGTATCTGAAATGTGTAATATCAAGTCACATTCCTCAAGAAAAAAGCTGAAAATACGCTGACATAGTTTGAAATGTCTGATAAGGTCTGAATATATTTTTCACTTAAATTTATTAATTTAGTACCTCTAAATGAACTTTAGAAATACCTGCATGAATAGACGTGGTTTTTCCTTATGCTACGTCTAAAAAATCCCTTGCATCCATCACAGCTGGAAGCACCATAATGTTTTCCGGTTGCTCGGTCTCCACATATTGCACAGAGACTACTGACCCCGTTGTCAGCAGCATTCATGTTGACAGCTTCCCCTGAACTGTCTGACAAGAAATAAGAACATACGTAGTTATAGACAAGACTTCTAACAACCACCCTATGAGCAAGTTTTACCTAAATAGAGGCTTTTTCTGGCTTTTTCTCTTTAATTGTCACTTAAAATTCACCTAGAATGTCTCATCTGATTACATCTGGKTCTTACACACATGAACACTTTTAAAGTGATAGAGATGTTAAAAGAATTTATGAAGTTCATAACAACAAATAATTGTGTTCTAAACTCTTTCCAGCTGAAGGGTTAAAAATTAAAGTGCAATTCTGCATGTATAATTACCCATACAATTCCACTAATATGGAGAGGAACTTTGGCACAAAGCTGGCAATAGCTGGCAAGTCTCATACAAAGGTTTGTGACATTAAATAAAGAAACAAAGAAGAAGGATTTTGAAGAAATTAATTTCAAAAAAASCACAAAAACGCATGCTATGAGCACTGTTTGTTATTTCCTTGAAGCTATTTTTCGCCGGAACACTGGTGCAGATTTTCCTTGAAGAGACTATTAGTTTCATTATTAACAATTAGTCACTGAATATGGTAAACACTACYGAAGAAATTCACTTGAAATCAAAGCAGGCATATTTATTCTTTGAGTCACAATGTAATACTGCATATGAAGCATAAATGTTCAAAGAAACAATTGCAAAAATTTTTTTCTGAGTTGCTTCTGGCTTAAATGAAAGGAAAATACACCCTAAACATTTGTGGCTGTTTTGTCCAGAGGATGAAAGAGTGTCACATTAATTAAATATGCAAATATGGATTCAAAAGCCATGTTCATGAGTTCATGAACTGTGTATAGGATGAACAGCAAAACTGTTACTATTGATATCTACTATTACTCATATTGTACAGATCCAACGGAAATGCATAAGACAAACACATTATAAAATTTTCATTGTGTCCCGCAGAGCTGAAAAGTTAAAAAGAGTTCTTTGGATACAGAAAGAAGCAACTTTTCTGCTTTGTTTTGTTTTCTAATCGATAGGAATTGCGTTAAAAAAAAAAAAAAAAAAAAAAAAAATGAAATCTTACAAGTATGAATTCAGTTCCATAAAGATTTTATTTTAAAACTAGGATTGTCATGATGGAAAATTATTTTTAAACTAGATTACAGAATTGCTTTAGAAAAATATAAGACCTTTCTTTTASAGTTTTGTAACTTTTTGCCTCATACAGCACAGTAATTAAAAATACAATATTTAAGTGTTATAATGCAATATTTCACAGCAATATAAGTTCTGCACATATATATAAGGACATACTTATTTTCCTTGGTATTATTGTGAAACCATTGGAAATTGACCTGATAGTGAAAAATTCTTCAGTTTCAACAGAACTGTGTAATCTGCCTGAATGTGGCTTGTTAAATTTCTCTAAWTGTTATTTATTAATTTACACTGCTAGAAAAGATACATAGGAAGGTTCAAAAAGGGCAGCTTTCAGTTCCACACTAGCACAGTAACAAGACAATGGTTTTATAAATGCTGTAAAAAACCTAAACTTAAAACAAACTCTAAACAGAAAAAGGCTGCAGCTGATAACTAATGATTATCAAGTTCATCACTTACAGGGAATAATTTAACCAGCTCTATTGCCAACACATAAGGCAACCAAGCACAACCTCCCTAATCTGCCTTTGCATTTAATTTAACATTAACAGATGCAGAAGGGTGCTATTCAGCAAAAAACAAGTGACCAATGAAATACCCATATTAGAACAAAAAGCAGAGAAATCTAAAAGTGATATAAAGTTCTCTTTTTTCCTTCTTCTTAAATCTTCTTAAATCCTTCTGTTTACTAAGCTTGATATAATGTAACATCAGAAATTCAGATAAAACTTAAAGTCCAACACTAAATTTAATTAGATTCTATATGGCAAGAGTATGTGAAAGTCCAGACCCTAAATATTTTTCCTGCAAATCACTACATATTGGTTCTGACTTTTAAAAATACATACTACCATGAATTATACTTTAAGATACAATAAACCAATATTTTTAGTGTATCAGAAGATTTGGAAGGCCATTTGTGGTTAATTTAACTTGCCTGATATTTTTATTCACATTTCTTTTTTTTTTTTTTTGGTCACTACTTAATGATGGCAGAATTAAATGGTATGCTTTCTATTTCAACTATAAATTATTGATACAATTTGTCAAAAATTCCATATATTTCTCCATATAAAAAATCTACCTAAAGTGTTACATTAACCAAATGCAAACACTTTTTCTCAGCTAAACATTATCCTCTAGAAAGCCAGTGTGATTCTTTTTAAATCACTCTCGTTTATATATACACAAGAAAAAAAAAAAAAAAAAAAAAAAAAAAAAAAAAAAACAAACCAAAAACTGGAGGCTTTTTTTTTTTTAACCCTCAGTTTTCATTGCACAGTAATGAAGATATAAGAAATCAGTAGTCTCAGCATCATTTCCAACAGTGTTAAATCGTTGTCCTTGAGAGGGCAATTATTGTAGTAATTAATATGTGCCTCTACTGATCTGAAAGAATAATACCACTTATATTTTCTAATCATGCTAAGAAATCCATAAACATTTAAAATGTTCCAGAGTATGCACTATTGGTTTCCTTGCCATTTTCACTTCCAGTGACTGATGAACATCAAAAGCAAAGCAATAATTTGAAAGTCCACAGGTAATTACTGGAAAGTAAACTGGAATATTAGTCTGTAACTTTTATGCTTTTACACACTCAGTATATGATTGCCATGATTGCCATCGTTATTCAGCACCTTTCTCACAGAATCAATAAGGATATGCAGTAGATCAAAATGGGAAAATTTTGGTACTCTGATACCATATAAAATGTGCGTCAGTAATCTAGAAATTACATATAATTTTGTCTCGCACAGTAGCATATTTACATGCCATTTAACAAGTGCACAGTATCTTCAGGTTACTGAAACTAACATGCTGGACTGAAGTGCTTAATCTCAGTGTGTATTGTCAAGCGATGAATTTGCACTTTGTTCCTAAATTACTTTTTTAAGAATAAAATGTGAATGCTTCTAGATCTTCAGAAAAAAAGCAACCAAACAACAAAAAAGAACAAAGTGTCTTTTAAGCATTTGCCACTAGCTAAATTTCCAGGAAGTGTCTCTAATCTAGTGGTGCAAATACATCTGAAGTGAGCTTCATATCAGCAGAATTTATAGCAAACAGCTTACCATAAATGAACATCTGTGGTACTTCTAGGAAATAAACAAAAAAGCTGAATTTAACCTTTGCCTATATTTGCAATCACACTGATACTGAGGCGTAAAGTAATCCTCAACAACACAAAAGCCAGTTTCAAGTGCCTGTATACACTTTCTACATCAAAACCATGTTGGTTTCCACTCACACTGTATCTATAAGGTACACTGTATCTATAAGGAATAAGTGTCAGACAGAGGCAGTGGCATTTTGATGTATACCAAACTCTGCGGATCAATGCCATTAGCCAGTGCAGGTTCTTGTATTCAACATTGTTATTGTATTAACTGCAGAAGACTTTGCCAGGNTTTTTTTTTTTTTTTTTCTTTTATGATACAGTGCAACCCTTCTGATAATCTTGGAATGTTTTTTGAAATAATCTTATCATGAGTTGTATTGGTTCCAATTCTTGCGTGAACCCAAGGACGTGCAGGAAACTTCCTATCCCTTATGCCTTGCTGCACATTTTGTTGTCAATGTGTGGTACAAACAGTTCTAAACAAACTACTCTGAGTGTTCTGTGTAGACACTGTAAGTTCACATGCAATTTTTCTCTCTTCAGAACAATAAGGAAATGTGATATGATTATGAACAATCTCAAACAACCCCAAATCACGCTCCTTCATATTTTAAAATACAGCTGTAAACACTCCCATTTTACAGCTGGTGGTGTTCTTTTCCACTGGCAGTGACCTAGCTCTTTAGGCATCCCTAAGCAAGGCTTCAAGCCACACAAGTCTGCAGAGAGGCCAGATCATAAATCCCCTCCATCACAGTGGGCTGCTGCAATGGCTCCAGGCACTGGATCCTGTACACTCTCAGACAGAGGCTTCCTGCTCTAACCCTTCATACAAGATGTGATGGCAGCATGGCATTTCCAAGTACTATTCAGATGTGCTGGGGGAAAAGAAATATTAATCACCTTCTCTGTAAGAAAGAGTCTCGGGGTAGGTCCACAGCTCATCAGTTGGTAGACATGGCGTGTACAAACACAGTTAAAAACCCTCCTGTAAAGATGGTTGAATCTGTGCCAAATATATAGCTGAACAGCAGAATTTCACTTGCTAATCTGGTGTTTTCAAATGTTGGACAGAAAAATTTCAAATGCTATTACTTCTCAATACATTCTTTACTGAAAACTACCCTGTACACTGCTGAAAAACAGTTACATGAAGAATACAAATATAGGAAACTACCAAGTTTATGGCTTATTAACAAGAGCTAATAACTGCATATACAACATTGAAATGCATATTTGAATGGCAATGAGTGTCTGCAGTTGCTCTTCAGTAAAAGTTTCTGCAAAAGGGCATCATAAACCAACTCCTTCATTAAATAAATAAATACGTATTTTTGAAAAGGAATTTACGACAGACAAATTACCAATGAGAAATGAAAATTTACAGGAAAATACCTAGATTAAAAGCCTTTCAAAATTCATCCTTCTAATATCCCTGTCCCCAGGGTTACCTGAGAGTCACAAATCATCCTGTCTCTTCGAGGACATGTAGATGTAGTCTCAGGCCAATTCTCTTCCTGACTCCAGCAGAGCCCAGTAACATAATTATGACAACAGGGTTCTTGTATAATTCACAAACCTATCCTTAAACCAAAGCATATTTACAGTTGTGTTACTGCTTGCACAAATTCTCCTCAGATTTTGAAGGGTGTCCACAGGGCTTTCCTTTTCAACCTACTGCTATACTGGTTTCCTTTAAACCATTCATCCATTATTATATTTAATAAGATACCAAAGAAACTGCAAAAGCTAC